GCCGCTTCACCCCATCCCCTCCCCCTCATTGATCGCGGTGTCCACAGCGCCGGGGGAGCCGTGGGAAATGGCCGCTAGAGGACGTTCTTCGAAACGTCAGTGCATGTACCAGCACACTGCCGCGGGTGGGGTCGATACGACAGCCCACAAGCGATGCTTTGTTTGAAAGGTGGCCGGCCGGGCCTGCAGAAACGTGTGCCTGTTAATGCAGCACTACCACGACGCGTGTACTGTGGAGTCACATCGGGGCTTCGCATACAAAACAACGAGGCCATGAATTTCTGAAAAGGCATGTAACAGACGGCGGGGTTTGTTAAGTGTTATTGCCTTTTTGCTGATGCTTGTAACCGCACTGGCTATTAGCTTTAGCAGCGCGACTTACTGGCAGTGCTGGTTGTCGGTCGCGCCTCAGCAATATCGCACAAGGCGGATTTTGTTGAGTGGGTGAAACTGACTGTATATTACGACGTACGCGTGGCGTGTTTGACCGTATGACGCCATGTTTTGACACGGCTTTTGCAAACGAAGCGTACACCGTTGGAAGCTGCAACACGCAGGCAGGGTCGCGACCGAAGCGTACCTCGCTGTCGCGCCTCATGTAGCACTGCGGGGGCAGTCGTTCGTCTCTGAGAATCGCCTCCAGCAGGCGCTGGTCCTTCGCTGACCGCACCCCGGACGAGTTTTCCGGGGAGTCCGCCGGGCGGCGCCACCGGCGACGGCCCGGGCCCTGCACACAGATCGCGATAACGTCAGCAGCGCCGCGCGACCGCCAGCATTTCGCCCCCGCTAACTGCCGCTTTACGCTCCATCGCCGTACGAGGGGCCCTCACAGTACGGTACAGCTAACTACACAACCTAGCATAGTGCAGACAGGCGTCAGACAGCGCCGGATGGCTCGCACAAAACTGTGTCAGCTTTCGCACTGATCGGCGTGAGGCTAATGCCCTTGTACGTTGAATGCGTCGTAAAATAACCCACCGTTATTAAGGCCATTATTCCAGTTGGTACGAAAGGATTAACGCCACAACATGCGACAAACCTCATGTAACGTTCACTTCCCTCAGGTTCAAGCCCTCGCATGCCCGCAGGGGCCAGGTTTTGGACGCGTAGCGAACAGCAATGCAACCCACATGAGATCACGTCACCGGGACCGAGTGACGTCACACCGGTGGTCTGACGTCACGCTGACACTGACCTTTGCGCGGCGGGCCTGACCGGTGTCCACCTGAGGCTGGGCGCCCTCCAGCGCCCGGTAGTGGTGGCTCATGTGCTGCTGCAGGGTAAGCGAGGACGTGGACTGCGGGGCCGACCCTGCCGACACGACAAGGCATGGCACCGGGGGGTGGGGAGAGTAGTCGGAAAATACGTGAGGTAGACGTGAGATAGGTGGTAAAGAGCGTTGAACACAATCTCGAGATGACGGCTTGATAAGGGGCGGTGTTAATAAAAGTACATTTGGAGGACAGCACAGCACCCTTGGCAGCGGTTCCGAGTCAAGAACTTCCAACGGCAAGCGTTACTGTGTCGTCCAATCGATACCTTATCACGTCAGGTTGATAAATTTTGCATTTCACGGGAATCTCAGCAAATTCTCGCATCGGTTGGGCGAATTTATGGCGGCGCCTACGCCGTACCTGCTCCGTTGCTGATGTAAGTAAACATGTCGGCTGGGCGGCTGTGTCAGTCAGGCCGTCTGCCTCCCAGGGTGGGTGCCAGGAGTCAGACCAGAACGTGACGTCATCCAGTCATGACGTCATCCCGTCTGAAAAGAAGCGGGGAGATCTTACGCTAGTTGATGACGAGGATGCTGTTGTTTGGCGGTGAGAAAAGTTCCGGCATCATGACCATCTCGTGCCGTCTTTGAGCGATCCGTCTGTTTAGCTTCGTTAAGAATGTTGCAATCAACCAGTAACTACCACTTGCTGCTCGCATAGCCATACTTTGGATCGTAACTCCATACTTTGTTGCTTGTATGTCCATACTTTATTGCTGGTATATTCATCTTTGTTGCTTGCGTGATCATACTTTGTTGCTCGCATGTCCATACTTTGCTGCTCGCAGGTCCATACTTTGCTGCTCGCATGTCCATACGTTGTTGCTCGCATGTCCATACGTTGTTGCTTCTATGTCTATACGTTGTTGCTCGCATGTCCATACGTTGTTGCTCCTATGTCCATACGTTGTTGCTCGCATGTCCATACGTTGTTGCTCCTATGTCCATACGTTGTTGCTCGCATGTCCATACGTTGTTGCTCGCATGTCCATACGTTTTTGCTCCTATGTCCATACGTTGTTGCTCGTATGCCCATACTTTGTTTCTCATATGTCCATACTCTGCTGCTTGTATGTCCATACGTTGCTGCTCGCATGCCCATCCTTTGTTGCTCGCATGTCCATACTTTGTTGTCCATATTTCCATACGTTGTTGCTCGTATGTCCACACGTCACCACCGGCAGGAGCGTCTCCTATTACAATGGCCCTATCTCAGCTTCTCAGACTTTGACGCGGTTGTGAATACGGCAGCGTCGAGTGCATTGTTGCCGACGTCGGTCGTTGATTCCGCGAGCACAAATTTCGCCACGTCAAGATATCGTTGGTAGGGGCGTATCCAAGGATAGAGGAACACTAAGACCTCTTCCCTTTTGAACGCTCGGCCATTATGGCACCCTTACGTCCGATTAAGGCGCTTCCGTAACAAACCAAACCAAAAGGAGGCGCTACAAAATCCCAGCAGAGCGGCCCACTTGGTCCAGGTGAAATAAGCACCGGCGGAGAGATGTCCTAAAGCCAGATGGTAGGTGCCTGAAGTCCATTGAGAATAACGTGCTAGTATTTTTGGCACATATGTCTGCAAGGCTCAGGCAGGGAAGCGCCAAGTCCATGTGGAGGGGCGCCCGGACTCTAAGATGACTGGTGCTCCTGACCATGGTAGGGAAGGGCCCCATGTCTCAGCAGTAAAGCGTCCCCAAAGCGAAGTAATCAGTGCTAACAAGCCCTAAGATTGGGCCCCGAAGCTAAGGCACAGGTGCTCTCCAAGCCCAGCAGAGGGACGCCTAAAAATTCAGGTAGATGGGCGCGCATAAATGCATCATGAAATTGTCAAGCCGAAGAGAAGGTCACAGAGATTAAGAGATCACAACGTCGAATAGCGACATCGTTCAGAATAAGGGGCTTTTCGTCTGTAAGCGTGATCACGTGTTTGGTGAAAATGGGGTGTTCAATTTCGTTTTTAGAGAATAATTGACGTTTGATTGTCAGCTATGATCTAAGCTTTTTATCGTCAATTAAAGTTGGCTGCCTCGGCCAATTTAAGGAGGTGCCTTGACCAGCAAAAACGCGGGCAAATTACAACGATTTTGACGACCAACGGCGCACTGACGCGCTACGCGACTGTATAGTCTCCCCTCCTCCCCCCCCCCCCCCTGGTCAATCAAATCAAATGGAAAGCTTTGAATGACTGCTCTAAAAACCACAGCGGCATTTTGAGGGTTTACCCCTCCCCTGGCCTCCTTACACGTAGCCCGGGTGCGCCTCTAGTCGTTTGTACGAGGCGAACACCCGCAGTGAGCTTGACTAACGTGAATCTTAAAGCCGGAAAAAGTTAAGCAGTCAAACTTGTGGCGTTTTTGGTGACGAAACCAGCTTGAAATATGCTATCACACATGGCCTGTCAGTAAATTTATGCATACGCAACGCACGCTGACAGCCACAAAATAATACGTGGTCAGCGATGGTGACTGGTTGCGCATCGAGTCTGCTTAATACACGCGGAACACGGAGAATATGACATAGAATGCGCTGGTGCTATTGTGGTACGGTACGTCGCAGACCAGGCTCGCGTCCCCCGAATGTATCACACAGGCTAGGCAGCTGCTCGGCAGGCATCTGAAGCGTCTGGACCCTGACCCGCATCGAAGGATCCCTCAGTCAAGGAACCTCTAGGGGAAAGGGGCCCTTCGAGCAGGATGACGAGTTTGATGACCTCATTTGGGCCAAACTGGGGATTTGTGATTAGCCTTAGATAGATTAGCCAAGCCTAGGTCTCCAATGCATTTCTATCGCCCTGGTGGAAGTAGTGGACAGGTAAGAAGTGACGATTTAGTTGTACTTTGAAACGCTTTAGGCTCAACTGTGGCTTGATATAATCAAGAAAGTTCTTCATCTCATGGTTGTTCGACATGATGAGCTCTGAGTTATCATGCTGAGTTATTGACTTCGATATACCTTGAAGTACTAATCTAATGACGTTATATAGCGAACAGTCCATCCGGTGGCTCAGCTGGTTAAAGCGCCTGCCTTCCGATCCACCCACCCGTGGCTGGGCGTTCGTGTCGCTCAGACTATCGCTATTTGCCCTTGACAGGTATGCCCTGCGGCTGCTGGCAGCGGTCGCACTAAAGGTCAGTTGACGTCAGAGGGCAAGACAGCCCGTGCCCATCATTGCGGCACGGTAAGCATTCGCCACCAAATTCTGCCGTTGATGTGGAATTGTACGATCGAGTGGTAGGAGTCAGGGCTCATTCAACAAGCACCGCTTAGCGTGAGCTCTGATCCCAGAAATCTACCCATTCAAAGGGTTCGGATCAAATCTTAAAAACACTGTTTATTATGGCAGTACACGACGTTTCCAGCTGCGCTTATGATCAACCTGCTGTGCGGACATATGGTCGCACTCATGATCATACGCAATGCTTGAAACGTCGAGTGCTATCAGTACAAACAATGTTTGGTCTGTAACGTCGTTTAATCACTACCTTCTGGCATGCTGAAGGTCGAGGACTCGGCATCAGAACTCTGAATTCATCATGCACTCCGTTGTCACCTGATGGACCTTTTGCAATCAGGCAGGAACGGCGGAGTGAGAGGGAAGTGGGGACAGTTCTCTCTCTCTCCCACCCATGTATGTAAAATCTCATATTAACGCGTTGGGATTGCATGAAGGGACCGAGATTTAGCCCCACTCAGAGCCAGGGTACCCCTCCCCCCCCCCCCCCACCCAAGGCGGCGCTCTGGAATGGCCCTTAGAAATGCGAATTTATGAAAAAAAACACGTTCAAAATTGATGAAATTCATTATGGTAATTGTCTGCCTTCCCAGGGAAAATTCCATAATGTGCCATGCATCTGAGACAGCTTTCCAAAAATGAACATATTCCAACACTACGAGAGAGGTACTATTTAAGGACAACGTAGATGTCGAAGACATCGAGTCAAAGTCGGTGCCTCCTGAGTGGCCGGAGCTCTGGACTTGCATGTAAGGCGTTTCAAGTTTGGGTTCGCGGCCGGTTGTGATTTGCTGGAATCGAACCGCGCCGCCATTGGCTGTATAGCTGTGTCGCGTAGTTGTGATTGGCCGTCATGCGGCCCGCTCGAAAATCCTTGCCGACGATCTTTCCCTGCGCACATATGTTTATCACACATATGCAGTCGTGTATTCAGGACCTTGCAGCATGAAAGTCACGATTTAAAATGTTTGCGAAAATTTTGTGAAATCCATTTCAGTGCGCAGGGTCGCCATAAGAGATGCACAATAGTTGAAGGGAATGTTCCATATTTGAAGATATTGAAACAAGCGTCAGATATGATGGAAAAGTTTCCTTGTAGCTGTTTGTATACTTTGAAGTGGAAGACCGCTCTACATAACACAATTTCCCTATTTAATAACTGTGCTCCTCAATGCGTCATTGCTTGATTGCGTAATCGTACCTTGCACATCATATTGTGGGCCAATTGACGGCCGCTATATCTGAAAATAGTGTTCACGGATATCAGATATGAACGACTCGACCATACATTTTGTATTGGCCTTGATCACCGCATGGCTAACAAATGACAGGATTTCAATGGCGTTATTACGACGTCAAAGATGTATGGGTGGCCTTGAAATAGTCACCCAGGAAGAAGAAGAATCCACCCAAAAAGCATATATGGCCGGAAAAGACCATCATTTTTGGAAACCAGAATGCATCTCTGACCTCAGGTGTTCATCAAACGAAACCCTGGGCCACGTCATCACCCGTTGATGCGAAATAGCATATTGCATATAGCCAACATATCGGGCTTGGGCATTCATGCTCATTGCGTGTTGAATGACGGCACAGCCAGGGGCGTATTTGCGTATTAGCAGCATGGCGCATACCCGCCTCTTATCAAATTTATGGCATGCATTACCTTGCACGTGGCTAAATGCCGTCAGTCCGAAATTTCAGGAAGAGCGGTCAAATCAAAAGGACTGACAACATGCTAAGTTGCTTCACAACACGCAAGAAACTGCGCACGACTGCTGCGCTAAACTTCGTTGCTCTTGAAAATTTTCATTTTGAGTTCCCCCTCTGCTGTGCAATCCTGCATGGACGTCACTCCTTCAAACGCCACGTTTATCGTATACCAGGCGCTGAATAATTTTACTTTATCGCCTGGGGAAAACCCCGCCTTACTGCACTACTGTGCAACACCACTGTACTACACACTTTTGCAGTAGAGTTGTACGCGCACAGTGGCGAAGCCGAGGGTGGCGCGGGGACAGGGCCAACAATCCCCAGAGGCGGCGCGGTCCCTTAGGGCCGAAGGCACTTCATGGTACTACATGGGCATGTAGCAATCAGATATATAGTGGTCCAAATGGACTCAACATAAACACACTACTGATTACTAGATGTCACATCACTGACACTAGATGTCACGTCGCCGCAGTCAAGCACTGCAGCACCCTGTCCCTGCCCATTTCCTTTCCCTCACGCCATCTACACTTTCCGCTCAAGGCAGCTCGCCAATATGATGCGTGTTTGTGCTAATTATGTGTAGCTGTGCTAATGAACAATAATTTATGCTGTCAAAAATAATGGCTGTCGGGGTGATTGAAAATGGACTTGTTGCGCCAACGGCGCCCTATCTCCCGTGACGGGAATACGATAACGACAATTCAGGCTAAAAATTTCAGGTCGAATGTCCACAATATCACTTGCGCCTAATCGGCTCTGATCATATCAACCATGAGGCCAGTAGAAGAAACAAGAGCATATTCAGGCCGTGGCTGATTGTATGGCCGCATCAAGGTCGGACACGGCGACGTTCAATTTGTGCGCAACATGGCCGGAGACGCGCCACACGGGGCCTAACCGAGGCTCGCCTCATGGGGCCTAACCGAGGTTCGTCTCATGGGGCCTAACCGAGGCTCGCCTCACGGGGCCTAACCGAGGCTTGCCTCATGGGGCCTAACCGAGGCTCCCTGTGTCCCACATATGAGTGTGTCGTGCCTCGCCGTTCCCGCGGACCGCTGGCGAAGCAATCGATTCCAGCTAGCGTGCTGACAGACTCTGCACGACATTCACTGTGATTGCCCCCGTTCTTTATAGGCTGGCCGGGAAGCCTTGGGAGTTTGGACCGCCCGGGGGCATACATTCGATTATCCTGCCCGGCAGAGGCGAACCCAGCGTCGAATCTTTGGGGCGGGGGGGGGAGACTTCCGAATACCACCCACTGAGCCAAGTAATGACGCGAAGACCGGGCTTGGAAATGTTTGAGTGCTGCACCACTTAAGCGAGTCTGTGGCCTCTCCGTCCCCGCCCCCTTGGATCCACTAGCATCGTTTGACTGGAGAAGCGGGGTACTGGTCTTCAGCATGCCGTCAGCCGCATTGGCCAGCTTGCCTTCGACTCTGAAAATGGCAGATGCGCCTGACGCATAGCTGAACTTGCAGTAGTCTGACGTGGCTAGTTCCACGTCACGTCAAGAGTGGGAGCATAAGCAGACTTAACAGGTGCTTAACTTAGACGCATGTTTCGAGAGAGCACCGAAGCTCAGATGTCCCGCTCCCCGGGTTGCGCCAAGTGCTGATGGTGTTCATACCAGTGAGAAACATGTGCTGCCGGTAATATTTCTCCCTCTGGTATGTCATGACGCATATGATGAGCGTTATGATCTAATAGGACGTGTTTCGTGAGCATATTGGTCAAGAGATCACCGCACGCGTATGTATAAAGTGTCAGTTTTAGCCCTCAATCGCCGGAGGAGCTGCCGCTAGGCATGATGTGAGGTCGCGGCCTGGGGTGTCCGCGCCTTCCGCCGGCCATCCTCTGTTTTGCTGCCAACGTGGTGTGACATTTATAGGACACTACGCTTGCGTTGGTCTCGCTTCGTGCCACTAAGACAATGGATGGCCTCTTCATGTAATTGTACAACTGTTTATTGGCGGCTGTCTCCAGCCCTGCAAGGGGAAGGGACATAAATTTCAGTCTGGTCGAGCAGGTATAGGCAATAGCTTATGTGTAGTGCGGAACTGAAAGCCTCTGATACCGATATTCTTAAGGGACGTTGCCTTTGGCAGTTCCTTCTCATGGTGGCCTGCTTGTGTATCTTGGTTGATCAATAGCCGTTATATTACTGTAAACGGGAATGACATTGTTTTCAAAAGATGCAGATTAAACAAAAACTGCCAGGCGAGATTATTTATAGAATGAAGCCAGACGGACTCGCGCCAGGCGAACTAAGGTAGGCAAAGGAAGTCCAGCGAATCAGCCCGAGTGATGAAGCCATAAGCCCCGAGCTCATTACACTCAGCAACAGCCAACAATTGCCTCTGGCATAGCGTGCAGCCGCTGGCGTATTGTGACAACGCCATGCACACAGACAAACTAAGCTCACTACCTTTACTTGCATGGGCACAAACCTAGTATTCCACGGAACTGGGATCTGGTGCTGCGCTGTCACAAAACACCGACATCGCTGATGGCGATGAACTGGGATCTGCTGCTGCGCTGTCACAAAACACCGACATCGCTGACGGCGATGAACTGGGATCTGGTGCTGCGCTGTCACAAAACACCGACATCGCTGACGGCAATGAAGACGGTGGCTTTTGGGCGAGGAAGACAACACTTTCAATTCATCATGCGAGTGAAGACGTTACAAAGGCGGAGTAACCACTCTCCAAACCCCGCTGGAAGCTTTATGAATTTGGCTGAAGCTACCAAATTCAGACCGTGTATGGAGAGGCAGTGTGTTGCCGACCACCATCCTTCGCAACTCTGGTTCATGTTAAGGAGAAATGAAGTCAGAGTATCTCTTTAAGGTGTAGTGGTTTTACGGCTTTGCTGTATTCGAGAAAACAAGTGCGCATAATACCTCACCACCAACAAGACATGGGGCAATTGGCAAGACTTTACCAGCCAAAGATATTGGTAAGATAGTCGCGGTGGTATCTTTCACTGCTCCCCATCGTGTGATAAAGGCATGCATGCGTAACAATCAGGAAGACGTGTGCCGTCTCACCGTGAGACAATGAAAACATTCAAGTGTCAAGTTAGTAGACTTCTGTACGCTGGAAATGTTTCTATACTTTAAATTAGATGACAAAATGTAGATGTCCATATACATCGTTGAGGGGCAGAGCTGGATAAGCATGTCCAGTTTCTGTGATGCCACTCAGCACGACCAGGCACGAACACCAGTGCAGCCTTTTGCAATTCATTTTGGGTCAAAATTACCGCTGCCCTCTCGCTGACGCATGCTTGCTCACCGCAGGGGCAGCAAATTGCTACACAATTTTAGCACATACTTTTTTGTTCGGAGCGGCTGATTAGAGCAGGAAGTATGTAATCATGAGTTCTGCGTGGGCGCAAAATGGTCATTGTAGTCGACGCACTGTGACAAAGTTGGTATTTCTCGGCAGTAAATAGCTCCAGAATTATAAAAAACAGATATCTAAAGACAAAAAGTCCAAGATCCTCAAGAGCCGTTGGGCCGCAAAATCACTAGAACACATCTAAACCTCCTGGGAAAGTGCCTGCTGACCGGATTCCATTTGTTTTATGAGCCATTGAGCCTGAGGTATGCCTGGCTTCCAAAACACCACCCCATGCTTCCTTTAAAAAGTCACCTTCAGCGTTTCACCACTTGCCAGGTGCATCAACCAGTTCTGGGATCACAAGGCGAAGCCCCACTTTTTTATTGGTTTAGGCGACCATCAGACGAGGTCGTACTCTTTTCTCATCGGTTAACTATGACGTCATTTCTGGACTCTACGACCACGGATCAGCTCGGACGCGCACCGTATATAAACCGTACCATTGGTGGCCCTGCAGAGGCTCCTGCTCTCTCCTGGCTCGAAAACACAAAATCGCTGTCGGTTGTGTGTGTGGACGTTGTGGTGTGTTAGTGTACACACTAACACACACGTAAGTGGCTAGAAAAGAGAAGCTGTGTTTGACAAGATCTCTCTTTGTTAGACTCGCGAGGACTGGCACGAGCGAGGTCTCCACAACTGTTAACTTTCACGCGACCGGTCAGAAATCTGCTTCACGCATCAGTAAACAGCAAAGCACTAACAAAGAGCAAACAAAGCAAACATGCATTTGGGGATGGATCTAACTGAATCGGCAGTGGCTAAAATAATTGTGCTTACCCCAAAAATTCCATTTTTCCCAGCACGAGCAAAAAATATGCTGCTAGAACGTACTTTGCAGTCTCAACATTTACCGAACAATTAAAATATATGCAACCGTTTCTCATTGTTTTCCATCTAGCATTTGGCACATCACAGTAATAGCAAAGACCTTCTACTGACACCTTCTTGCTCACCGCACAGGGCAAACTCAGTGCAAGATCCTGGACAATCATTACAGGTAAGGGGCAAAGTCATAGTCAAACGCAAATTACCAGTTGACTCAAGGGAGCATGCCCCAACTGTACGAGCACGTACCACAGAACCGACAATGTAGTATGTCATTTGCTTTTCCAGATGACGTCCATTCTAATCAGCAGTGTGTCGTCATTCCTGGGGGCTTTAAGAGTTGAATGCATGCATAAGAGTACCATTCACCAGGGACGTTCAGTTGACCCCGGAAAAGCTCGTCGTTCTCGTGGATCTGGTCAGCTGGGCCTGCAGTTGGCCACCCCTTCCGGAGCGTAAAGGCAACAGGTTATCAGTTCTGGGGATTTCAAACTGGTTTAGGTGGGCCAATCGTTCACTGCCCGCTACAGTGACCTAGTCAGGTGAGGGTTTCACACGTAGAGCTGTACCTAGTTATTTGATTTCATAGTTTCTCACTAGATCTGGCGTGTTCATTTGGTCTAGTGATCCACCATCACAGACCGGAACGCTGCACTTCCACCAGCAGCGCCTACCTGGACTGGTGTGTCGGCAGCTGAGCCAGCAGCTCTCTGTCGGACGCCGCCTCCCTCGGCTGTCTGAACCAGCAGCTCTCGCTCGGACGCCGCCTCCCTCGGCTGTCTGAACCAGCAGCTCTCGCTCGGACGCCGCCTCCCTCGGCTGTCTGAGCCAGCAGCTCTCGGTCGGACGCCGCCTCCCTCGGCTGTCTGAACCAGCAGCTCTCGGTCGGACGCCGCCTCCCTCAGCTGTCTGAACCAGCAGTTCTCGGTCGAACGCCGCCTCCCTCAGCTGTCTGAACCAGCAGCTCTCGGTCGGACGCCGCCTCCCTCAGCTGTCTGAACCAGCAGCTCTCGGTCGGACGCCGCCTCCCTCAGCTGTCTGAACCAGCAGCTCTCGGTCGGACGCCGCCTCCCTCGGCTGTCTGAACCAGCAGCTCTCTTTCGGACGCCGCCTCCCTCAGCTGTCTGAACCAGCAGCTCTCGGTCGGACGCCGCCTCCCTCGGCTGCCTCCGATCTCAGTCCGGCTCCTGGCGCACCAGCAACGCGCAGCAGCCACTCGGTTCCACCGCAGGTGTCAGCACCGTCACAGCACCCGCGCGAGATCACCTGGGAGCGGGACGCGGCGCGGGGCTGCGCCTCGCCGGCCGCCTGGCCACGGTCTCCGTGCACCACCACCGCCGGGCCGCGATCTGGCGTGCGCTGTCGATAGCCAGCGCCCGCGCTGTATCGATCCCCCACCTGTGTGGCGTAGTGACGGCACCTGGGCCTCCCTCGGCGCATGCGCACTCCGGGCGGACCAGGTGGGAGGGGTTCCGTGGGTGCCGTAATCACCGGCCGTGCGGCCCGAATGGTCGTTAGTAAGAGACGGGTTAAAACTGAAGCCACTCACGACGCGGGGCAGCGGGGGCTGCTCGAAGTAAAGCTGGTGTCGCTTTCACCGCGGGTTAGCTGTATAGGAGCATCTTTTAAGTGGATTTGTTATTTTTTCACGCATTTTTTAAGTGGACTAGGTAAGTTTGGAACCGCTTTACGCCTGATGTGTAAGTGTTAACCTATCAGCATGTCAGGTTACCGAAGGGAGATTCCGTGGTAACCACGGGCAGTCGGAGAAGGGAAGGGGAGGGGAGCATTTGAGATCCCCTAGGGTTTTCGGTGCAGGAACTAGCAATTTCAAAATTCCGCCCCATCACCGAGATAGAAAACCCTCGGCTTCTGCGCCTACGAGGAAACTGCTCTCGTCATCTCACAAGCTGCCTTGCTAGTTCACAGCCGAGCAGAGCTGCGCGCTGATTGTCCTAAACCTGACGCTCTCACAAGGACTCCGACGGAGGACGGAGACTCCGGAGGGACCACCTACAGAAAATCCAGTGGAAGAAACAGAGCTAAACCTTCACATGCGCAAGGTCACCATCAGCGTGGTGCCTTTCATCAGCGTGATGACAGCGGACGGTGTTGGTCTCGCCCCTAAGCCGGCACCCCCCTGGATAAAGTACGCGCTGTGGTCATGCGAGACGGGGGATACAACCGCCGGACGCCATCATCATCAGTGACTTTCCAAGCATCAGACGGGAGCACGTCGCCACCTGGACAGTGCTGCACTGGGCAGTGCGAAAACATCCAGAGAGGGAGCGACGACCGCTTGGTCGTATGTGGCCCTCGTCTTGCGATTCCTCGCTGCTTGTGGTCGGGAACTTCATGGTCGCGTACACGGCAGCGATAACGGCATCAAGAAACGCGTGCCAGACAGACAATGTACCGGTTCAATGTCAACGACGACGTGCCTGACGTCGTCAGCTGGTGTCGCGTCTCCAGGGATCACCTGCCAGGCCAGCAAGTCCGAAGCATTACCGAACCGGGTGGGTTTATGTTTATTGCCTCTTTAAGCCCTGGAGAGCGCACTTGGATGATGTGGATCGCCTTTCTGCATGTCGCGAGTACCCGAGAAAGGCCACTTCATGACACGTGATTAGCGCGCTCTGTGGCACGCTTGCCACGACTGGTATGTCATCAGACCTCCGCCAAGATGGTTGCCGCGGTTCTCTGCCAAACGAGCGGGAGAAACGTCCCAATTGGCGAGTTGGAACGTTTCTCACGCCGTCACGTGCACGCCTCTCTATCCGAAGAGACTGTAGGCCAATGCGTGAAATATCGCGCAATGCTTATGGCACTCGGCCATCTCTAAGCGGTCCTTGTCGCCAGGACCTTCCTGGACCTCCGTTACGCCCTGCGGGCGGCCACTCTCCAGCGGCATCCCCTCCAGGCTACAGTGCCGTCTGACAACCGCGGGGTGGCGGCAGCGCGCCCCCGTCGCGTGGGATTAGCAGGCCCATGTGCTGGGCGGCCCAGCACGAGACAGGGACGACGATGGGTTCGCCAGGCCGCTAGGTGCCCTCCGTGTGGTGCGACTGTGGAGCTTCATGGCCTCCGCGCGGGCAGGTGGGACCGCGCCGGCCGGACCACCGGCGTCGCCCACCGCGGTGATTACCTCGTCAATCTTCCGAGTGGGCGTCTGTATTGGCGTGGGCGACTTTGGTGACCGCTCTGTCGTGCCGTGCTTGGCAGACCCACAGGGCCCGGACCTGCCCAACGAGCCGCGAAGCATTGTGCGGGACCCCGACCGAGTGTGGGTCTGATCGCCACGCATGACCTTTATTCGGGGTCACGGCGCCCCGTACAGTGGGCGCGCCGACCAGCGAACAGGACCCTTGCCGCCGCCCCTGCGACGGAGTGCGAGGCTGCTCAGCCGCTCCTTTATCTTGTTCTCGACCCATGCTCTGAATCTTGCGAGTTGTCTCTCTCTGTTCGCGATGCGTCACATGCCATTTCCACGGGAAATGTCGTTTGGGGTAGGTGTAACATAGCGGTCTGTGTCGTTTGGGGTACGTGCAACATGGCGGACGGTGTCGTTTGAGGTACGTGTAACATAGCGGACTGTGTCGAGCCTGACCCCGCCACTGCTCCTGGCACTAGGGGCGGATCCAGGATTTCGTCAAGGGAGGGGGGGGGGGTGGCTACGCAACATTTTGGGGCCCCCCGGAGTTTGGGGCCCCTGGAGTTTGGGGCCACCTGGAGTTTTGGGGGCTCCCTCCAACAAATATATTTGCAATGCGGTTATTACATTTTAAGAAGTTGCGTGTAACATACATACATATATATATATATATATATATATATATATATATATATATATATATATATATATATATATATATATATATATATATATATATGTGTGTGTGTGTGTGTGTGTGTGTGTGTGTGTGTGTGTGTGTGTGTGTAAGTACGGATGTCTTTACTTATCCATTTATTTCATAATACGGAACCCATCTTACTGTGCACGGCCTTATAAAGCTAGGTGTGCTACGCATGCATACGCATAGAACTCGCTCACTTTCCACAGATCATGTTAAATGCTATGATTTTAATGCTAAGTGGTTCGGAACAACAGTCAAAATAAACTTGAGTTAGCTGCTAACAACCATCGAAACCAAACGTGGACTTGATTCCTAGCTTATGTTTTTACAGCCAGCCGGCTGGGCGATGTAATCAGTTGAAGGTTGATGACTAGTGCAGAATCTTTCCTCTGTTATAAAGGAGAACAGCATATCTAAGCATTCGAAATATGTTAAGAACGTAATGCAATAGTATAATAAGTGTCACATAGTCAATGGCTAATGAAAGCAACACATGCGACGTCGGCGACATGTAAAATTACGTTCGGCAACTGCGCGTAAAAGCTCAACGGCGCATGTGCGACCGCTGCTCTGAGGCGAAGGCACCAAGGCTGACAGGGACGAAACCTGAGCGATCATGGTGCCGCAGGAGGCCAACAAGGTGGCTCCTGTCAGCAAGTATAGGGTCCGCAGAGCTAGGAAAAAGAACCCAAGACCAACGCGGTGAGCCCATGAACCATCGGTATTGCCTTGGCAGGCTGACATACAAAGCCCCGGCCAGAGTACAGGACCCCCCTCCCCCCGCCCCCAGCGAAGGGAATCATCCAAGACCATGAATTAATACCCCTGTGCGATCAAGAGTGCGCAGACGGGCTAACAACGCGAGCCTCGATAGGAATAAAGAGTACTCCGCAAATGACACCAAAGGGAGGGAGCCCTCGATCAAAGTAGATGGACCCTGAGCATCGAGTGTCTCCGTGCCTTACCTTATAAAAGCCCTAGCAACAGCACAAGGCTCTCCAAGCAAGGAGGAAGAGCCCCAGGCTTAAATACAGAGCCTCTGGGCAACTGAGTGTACCCTGGCATATGGGACCTGGAAAAAGCGTAAAGAGCCCTTCGGGCGAATGGGGAGAATCCGCGGAGGAAAACCTCATCGATCAACAGTGCTCAGGTATGGAGGCAGATAGCGTTCCATCAGTACATTGGGCTCTATGAGAAAATGCAAAAAGATCAAGGGCAACGTGGAAAGCTCCTGGAAAGCTCCTTAGCAATCAGATTGACCCGGCAAGTGGACATACAGGGCCAGTAAACCAACGGCGCAATGGCTCTAAACAGCCATATAAGCTCAATTGGCCAACATTTCCAGTTCACAACTTTTCCAATCGATAAATTATTTGTTGACTTCTCATAGGCCCTTCACTTTCGCTTACAACTGTTCTTGGTCGTCTGGAAGGCAAGAGATATCCAGTTTTGTTGCGTTTTGTGTTTAGTAAAAACTGTACCTGCTCGGCCGGCGATGGCCCCCTCTGAGCCAATAGGCCCCTCCGGGGCCCAAGGAGGGGGGCATGGTCCCGTGTCCCCCCCTCTGGATCCTCCCCTGTCTGGCACAGCCAGCCCTCCGGTCTGTGCAAAGCCAAAACGCTTTAGCCTGAAACGACCTGGATTGGTAGACGTCAACAAACGGAACAGAACTGCTCGTTGTGCAATGACAATAATTTTAAATAACGTTGAAGAATCGTATGCTGTCCCGCAAAACAACCCCAATGGCTAACTTTTTACCACATGTTCTCCACACCAGGTTTTTCTGGCGGCTCAGTCACGAATACGCCACATTTAAAACCGGACATTAATCGCGCCAGCTTGTATTTGTGGCGCGTTCACCGAGTGCACATCCAGCTCGGTCACAACCGCGTTGTTTTCGGCTAACTGTTGACATTTTCCCTGTACCAACACGGAAAAAGAGATATTGCGGGAAAAACCGCAATCTGTTCCGCGCTCTAGCAGAAATTGAGCTTGCTATGCCACTTGTTCTCAAACGTTCAGCCAAACATTCTCCCCTCACTGTTCACCGCCTGCAGACGAATGCAATAGCACCACGGCTTCAGCAGCAAAATGTGTGACACCGAGGCGCAATACTGAGAATGTCTCCCACAGTTTACAAACAGTCGAGTTGGGAGCAACACACATCACAACTGTCATGGCTGCCACAGCTCTCGCGCCGTGTTGGAACACCAGGAGTTATCTGGGTCAGCCATGCACTGTGTCTCAGAAAAGCGTTACACAGTAGGGAAAACATTATGATATGACATCAGCTGACACACCACGTACATACGTGGCTACAACGTGCCATTACATAGCCTGAGAGATAACTAGCATGCCAAAATTAACAGAAAGTGATGAAGAATAAAAACACACCAACGCATGCACTCATTAACAGGGTGAGACTACCCTATCGCACAAAAAAGGCCCGGCTGCGTGATTAAAA